TGATAATGAGGTTTATGTGTATTAAGTACATGGATGTCTGTATTTATATGTATGCATGACTGGTTGGGCTGAAATGGGCTAAGTGCCTAAGTGCAGGGCGTGTTACTGGGTTGTTTTCGCTGCAGCGAGAAGGCCCTAGGAGAAAGGACTAGAACTGTCGCCTTCTTGCTGTAGCGAGAGACGTCTCACTCTAGTGACAGTTTGGGGTGCATTTCTGGGTTCAGTCTCACTATAGCGAGATTCTGCAGAAATCAGGGTGCAGTTTTGTCTGATATTTTCGCTGCAGCGCTGCAGCAAAAATATCTCACTGCAGCGAGAGTGTTGCGACCAAAAAAGGAGTTAAAGGAGGTTAAGGTTCGGGGAGAGTTATTTCTCCCTCTCCCTTCGATCCTCTCATGCCCAAAGCCCTATTCCACCGATTAATTTCCTCCAAAGTCGTTCTGTCACGACCCCTTTTATAAGGAACCGAGAACATTGTTTCTACATCACAAACTTATTTAAAATAAATAAAGTATAGAGAATATAAATATGAAATTCTCTTCTCATTCAAAATAAAACAGAGTTTCTTACAACAAATATCTAATAAAACAACACAATATTACATTTAGTTCATAATATTCAAAATACCCAAAATTATACTACGTAGCTCCCTCTACATGAGGTCTCAAAATATAAGGAAAAAGGACTTTGATGCAATATTACTCGACCCCAGCTTCAATCATTTCTTCACTGGCCCCTCAGCCTGTGAAGTAGATGCAACACCTGCTACATCTGCTCACGTACCACCGTACGATCATCGCAGTACACACGTACACAACGACATAGAAAGAAATGCAAGGGTGAGCTTACTAAACTTAAAATAAAATCATATATATAGAACAAAATATTTCTCACAGCAATAATCCCATGCATTCCAGCCCATCTAATGCACAGCATGAAAACGGTTTCCAACTGGTTTCACAGCCTAAGTAATCCAGAAGGAACCGAGCCGGTCCGGGAGCGACCCATTCCGGTATCTGAATTCAGACAGCACAGCAGCTCAGCATGAACTTACCGTTACACGTCTACCCACCTAAACATGTAACTCGGCTCTATAATGATGTAAAACATATATCTCAGCATGATGCACTCCGCCAAAATTATTTTAACAGCTCAGCTAAGGCAAGTTTAAGATAGATCAGCCAAAATCTCAGCATTTTAAATCAATTAACAACAGTTACAGCTTAGAAAATAGCTTTTATTTAATAGATCTAACAAAATCATATCAAAACATCTTGAAATAGCATATTAAACCGTTCAAAACGTAGTTCATAGGTTAAAGTAAACTCCCCTTACCTCAGAAAGATGATTCACACTAGATCTACCGAATATTATTTGTTTTAATGCAAGATTCACCGAAGATTCAGCTTTAGAACGAAGTTTCTCCTAAGAACACCATGAATTTCTATGAGAAAGAGAAGGAGAAGAGAAACGAACGGTAAATCTAGCTTCAAACTTAAAGAAACTTACTTCAAATCCCTCAGAATAGACGTAGAATCTCAGATCTGGCAAGAAATCTAAGTTTAGGAAGGTTTAGTATAAGCGAAATGGTGGTATTTGGCCTTAGAACCTTTGAGAACCTTGGATAGGGGTGAAGAAATGAAAATTTCGTGTGAAGCCCCTCTTTTTATAGAAATTTTTTGAAATTTACTTTTCACCGCCGGAAACGATGTTCACCGCCTTACTGTTCACGCCGGAAACACTGTTCAGGGCACTATTCACGCTGGAAAATACTGTGCACGCGTATTGTACGCGTATGTGACGTCAGCCATGACGTCACTGATGACGTCAGCAGTCACTGTACATACGCGGTTTGCACTGTTCATACACGGTTTGTACGCGATTTGCACTGTTCATAGGCGGTTTTACTGTTCTTCTGACACTGTTCAAACGATACTGTTCACTTTTTTTTTTTTTTTTTATAAATAATTTCAAACTCCATCTAAATCTATTCCAATACCAAATTAATCCTTCAATTAACATTTAACAAGTATAAAATATTATAGATTACTCAATAATAAATCACAGGCCTGACACGTTCAGGAGCGAGATTAGAGCTCGGATTTTGTTCAGAGGGCAAGTGTACCCATCGAAAAGTAATAAATGGTTCTTAAATTAAGTTCCTGAAATATCGTCCCACAAGGATTATTTTCCAATTACTAAGAATTTCCTAATTCAATTGTTTAAGCTTCAAAGATACGAGATTAATTAAAAACAAAAATTTATAAAATCAATTATAAAACTAAGAGCAAGGAATACAATGCACGTCTTGGTTAAACTTATCGGAAAGGAACCTAGGGCATATGGATTTTCTCATTCAATCCTTTATGTTATTTTTCTATTTAACTCTAAATCCAATTTCCTTGTGATTACCAATCATTCATACGAATACTATCAATACCCAATAGTCATGCAATATTAATATTCTTTTCTCTAAATTAATATCCCTAATGGTCATGCAAGACATCAATTTGAGAAAGCTTAAGGAACCTATGAACTTGTTAATTTAATAACGATTAGAAGAGAAAGATTGGTTTGGTCCACCTAATCCTTTGTCTCGTTTTACCCTATAGATCTATTAATTAACCAAGGTACAGTCGCCTAACGATATAATTAATTAGGATTAAGAGAGAAGTGCAATAGGATAAAATCTAATCACAAAACGGAAATCAAATTTAGATTCAAACATCAAAATCTCATAAATTCATGAACAATAGTTCTCATAGCCCTAGCTATGGACTTAGTTACTCATGCTAAAGAAAAGAATTAAAACAATCATCAACAAAGCCATAATCAAAAGAAATAGCAAACTAGAGTGTGAGATGTGTTCCCGGTCTTCAAGTATGATCGCTTGAAGCTCCAAGTGTCGCCAAGCATGTGCCAAAGATCCCGTGCAAGAGAGAAGATATTAGATGATTTCTAGAGCCAAAGCCAAGATGTAAAAACAGTGTTTTTTCAATGGTGCCCCAGATCTTCCCTTTTATAGGATTTGAAAACCCTAAGCACTTTTCATAAATGGACTTCCCACAGATGAGTACAGTCGTGCAAGGCCTTAAGTACGACTGTGCATGGGCTCGAAGCACCCCGTGCTTATTGAATGGGTCTGGGCATGTTGACTGCTGCGAAGCTCTAATCTTCCATCAATTTGGGCCCAAAATGCACCCCAGAATGCACCCAAAATCCACTTGCATCCTCTTTATACCAAACTGCACAATTAATATATAAATTAGTGTAAAACCCAAATAAAATAAAGATCAAATATGAATATATAGGCTGTAAAAGAGGGCCTAATTACAGACTTATCAACTCCCCTATACTTATCTGTTTGTTTGTCCTCAAGCAAAGTGCTGGTTAAGAGTAACATAATAACTTAAAACATAATACCACATAAGGAACCTGAGATGAGGAGATAAAGAGAGCAACAAGAGTAATATCACTGAGCATAAGCAATCAAAAGGATTCCCAATTAGAATCTTATATTTCCATACTTTTCACTCAAACATCAAACTGATGTACTCTACTTTCCTCTCTCACTAAGGGAAAATAAGATATCACTCAATTCTCCTAAAGAAGATGTACTACCATAGGCTTAATTATAAACTGACTCCCCACTAAATAAATTAAATGCAAGTAAAAATCATGAGGTCTTTTTCAGGTTATAATGTGGCCAAGGGGTTATGATAATTTGAGGTGAGATAAATGAAAGAAAGGGGATATATAAAGGGTTAATAAATTATAAAAATTATAAACATCCCCTAAGTTTACAAATGAAGCTCTTTGAGTAATTTTTATATTTTTGTATATAAATAGTATCTTTACTCCTCTCTCCTTTCAATCATATATAGCCGTTTTTCTTTTTTTTCTTTTTTTTTATTTTCTTTTTCATTCTTTCTTTCTTTTTGCATATGAGAGATATAGATGAGAATTAATCAAAAAATTCAACAACTCAATTGCTCCATTCATAAACTCAAGATCATCAAAATATTTTATAAATTTAATGCAAGGGACCAAGAAAATCAATAAAGCTCAAAGTGGACAACTAGTTGTATCTTAAACATGCTGAAGGCCAAGAATAAAAATCCTATTATGCCTCAATCATATTAAAAACACGTAATTAAAAAGAGAAGTCTTAAGTCGGTTCCAAGTCAAGTTCTAGAGCACAAAACCTAAGGAGATAATCACACAAAACAATGAGGAAAGGGGTACAATTAATTAAATTAAGATAGAAATCCCCTTTAAGGCTCAAAACTCATATCTATGGGTTAAAATTTAATGTAGAGCATAAAAGTAAAGAACCTAACTAAAATATTAGTTTCTAAATAAAAGTATAACGCCAATAATAATCACTCAACATGCTCTTCTATCTGGAAAAAATTGGGTTCCATGAGGGAAAAAGTTTTAAATTATTATAAAAAATAGTATAGACACTTTACTCAGTAATATGCAAATAACAATCATATAATTAGGAACTACTCCCCCATACTTAAAGCGAAATATTGTCCTCAATGTTTGAAAGCAATTAACTTAAAAGCATGCAAAGAGGGCAATTGAATAAAAAAGAAAGAGGTTCCCTGATAATTCTTGGCGCGACAGCTTCGGGTGAGGGAGCACGACCATACTGAAATCTTGAGCATGCTCATGCTTATGATGTAAAGCTTTCTCTCACAACTGCGAGTCAATGCATGGCCGTGTATGTGATGAGCACGGGCGTGCTTCCAAATCAGAGCTCAAAAGTGTGGGAACAATCAACTCCGTTCTTGCAATCTTTCAATATACTTATTCTTTATTCTAAAAATAAAATATAAATAGAAAAAATAAAATATAAATAGAAAAAATTAAAATAAACAAAAAAAAATAAAATTTAAATAAAATAAAAGATACAGGTTGCCTCCTGGGAGCGCTTGTTTAACGTCACGAGCCTGATGTTCCTGTTAAATCATGATGGGAAAAATGTAAGAGTCTCAAAGGTGACTCCCTTGATATGCAATTGTCTCCCCAACAACTTTGCCTCCCCAACACCTATTACATCAGAAAATTTATTCATAAGATAGGGATTAGAATAAAGAGAAGAAAATTTAAGCTTCGAATTAGGAGGCTTATTAATGGATGGTTTAAGCTTTTGTCTTTTCTTCTTCTTATATTGCTTCCTCCTTGGCCTTTTTCTTGTGGTTCCATGCTTCACATAAATTAGAGGAGGAGAAGCAATATCTATAGTACTCACAAAGTGATAGGACTCTTCGCTATAAGGGTACTTGAAAGAATTGAAAACTTGAAATACAACTTCCTCTTTATCTAGCCTCAGTGTGAGCTTCCCTTGCTGAACATCTATTATCGTTCTTCCTGTGGCTAGGAAAGGCCTCCCTAGTATGATGGGTACTTTGTCATCCTCTTCCATGTCAAGGATAATGAAATCTGCAGGAAACATAAACTTATCTACCTTGACTAGGACATCCTCCACTATGCCCTTAGGATACGTTATTAAACGATCAGTAAGCTGCAGAGAGATTGAAGTTGGCTTGGGTTCTTGCATACCCAACCTTTTAAACACAGAAAATAGCATTAGATTGATGCTAGCACCTAAATCACAGAGCGCTTTATCAAAATAAGAATTGCCTATAGTGCAAGGAATTATAAAACTCCCTAGATCCTTAAGCTTAAGCGGCAGCTTCCTTAGTAAAATTGCTGAGCACTCCTCATTCAATCTGACTGTCTCGAATTCTTCCAATTTCTTTTTGCTGCTTAGCATCTCCTTGAGAAATTTAGCATATTTCGGCATCTGTGATATGGGTTCAACAAAAGGAATATTGATGTGGAGCTTTCTGAGGATCCCAAGGAACTTATTAAACTGAGGGTCTCTCTGGCTACTCATCAATCGTTGTGGAAATGGAACTTTCAGTTTTGTTACCACTGATGCATCTTCCCTTGTCTCATTTTTCACATATGGGTGGTAAGCACGACCTTTCTCATCATCCAGCACGGGCGTGCCTTCGTTGAGCACGACCTTGCTTCCGTCTAGCACAATTGTGCCTTCGTTGTCTGCAAGGGCATGCTGTTCTAAGCACGACCATTTTGTTTCAGGCAGCATAGGCGTGCAAGGTGATGCAAGGGCGTGCTCCTCCTTCAGCACAGGCATGCATGACTTATGTGTTTTCGTCCCATTCAAATTTTTCCCACTTCTTAGAGTAATGGCATTGCATTGCTTCCTTGGATTAGGCTCAGGTTGAGATGGTAGTGTTCCCATCACTCTTTGACTCAGAAGATTCGTAATTTGCTCTAATTGTGCACTCATCTTGGAGTAGCTGGCTTGTATTTTAAATTTAACCTCTGCGAACCTCTTATCAGTTCTCTCAATATGTTGGTCTAACTTGGATTCAAGATCTATCATTCTCTTATTAGAATAATGCACATATTACATCATCTGTTCTTGAAAGTTGGACTGAGATCTAGGAGTTTTTTTGCTTTCAGGTCTTGCTCCCTGACTTTGCACATGAGGAGGGCGATAAACACTTGAATTTTGACTTTCAAAGCCATTCCCCCAAGAGTTAGGAGGATTACTCCTCCACCCCAAACTATGATTGCCCATGAAGTTTGCCTCTTTTTGCTTAAATTCTGGGCTTGTAGAGCTCTTACAAGTTAGTCTTGAGCCTTCATTAAAGATTCTAGTTACTTTGCAAGGACTGCCATTTGGTTCATTAGTGGGCTGCTGCTCTCTGCTTGGTAGACCAGAGCGGTCTCTTTCATCTTGATGTCGTAAGAGTCAGCGGTGTGCCACTGAAAGCTAGAAGATGTCATCTCATCTATCAGCTTGTATGCATCATTTGGATCTTTTCTTATCAGGGACCTCCTGCTACGGCATCAATTGTAGCCCTGGTAGTGATTGATAAGCCACTGTAAAAAATTTGTACCTGTCTCCACGTCAGAAAATCATGATGAGGACATCTCCTCAAAAGCTCTCCAAATCGCTCCTATGTTTCGAATAAGGATTCTGATTCATATTGTTGGAAGCAACATATCTCCGTCATAAGCTTAGAGGACCTTGATGGGGGAAAGTACTCTCCCAATAATTGCTGAGTGAGATCCTCCCAAGTTCTGATGGAATTGGCTGGGAGTGAGGAAAACCATGCATTCACTCTTTCGGACACTGAGAATGGGAACAAGTGGAGTCGAATAACATCATTGGAGACTCAATTGTATTTTATGGTATCTGTCAATCAGAGGAACTTTGTTAGATGTAAATTGGGGTCTTCATTAGGCATGCCTCAAAACTATATGGAGTTCTGGACCATGGTTATGAGTGCTGGTTTCAATTCAAAATTGTTTGCCTCCACATTAGGAGCTGTGATGCTTCCAGGGGTGCCTTTAGCAGTCGGTATCATATAATCTTGAATCAATCTCCTTCCCTCTGTCATTCTTTGCTCTCTCACTTCTTTTCTTTGTCTATGCGTTGTTCTATCAATCTCCGGATCAATAAACAAGTTGTAGAGCACTTAGAACGAGTGAGTATACATTAAAAGAAATTGTGAAATAAAAAAAATTAAAATAAAATAAAAAGAAAAATTATAAAATATAAAAGAAAAATTTAACACTAAACAAAACAAAATAAAATAAAACATAAATTGCTTAAATCAATTAAATTTGAGATTTTCTTAATATTGAAAAAATAATCCTCGGCAACGGTGCTAGACACTTGTTCGGAGGGCAAGTGTACTCATCAAAAACTAATAAAGGATTCTTAAATTAAGTTCCCGAAATATCATCCCACAAGGATTGTTTTCCAATTACTAAGAATTTCCTAATTCAATTGTTTAAGCTTCAAAGATACGAGATTAATTAAAAACAAAAATTTATAAAATCAATTATAAAACTAAGAGCAAGGAATACAATGCACGTCTTGGTTAAACTTATCGGAGAGGAACTTAGGGCATATGGGTTTTCTCATTCAATCCTTTATGTTATTTTTCTATTTAACTCTAAATCCAATTTCCTTGTGATTACCAATCATTCATACAAATACTATCAATACCCAATGGTTATGCAATATTAATATTCTTTTCTATAAATTAATATCCCCAATGGTCATGCAAGACATCAATTTGAGAAAGCTTAAGGAACCTATGAACTTGTTAATTTAATAACAATTAGAAGAGAAAGATTGGTTTGGTCCACCTAATCCTTTGTCTTATTTTACCCTATAGATCTATTAATTAACCGAGGTACGGTCACCTAATGATATAATTAATTAGAATTAAGAGAGAAGTGCAATAGGATAAAGTCTAATCACGAAACGAAAATCAAATTTAGATTGAAACATCAAAATCCCATAAATTCATGAACAATAGTTTCCATAGCCCTAGCTATGGACTTAGTTACTCATGCTAAAGAAAAGAACTAAAATAATCATCAACAAAGCCATAATCAAAAGAAATAGCAAACTAGAGTGTGAGATGTGTTCCTGGTCTTCAAGTACGATCGCTTGAAGCTCCAAGTGTTGCCAAGCATGTGCCAAAGATCCCGTGCAAGAGAGAAGATATCAGATGATTTCTAGAGTCAAAGCCAAGATGTAAAAACAATGTTTTTTCAATGGTGCCCCAGATCTTCCCTTTTATAGGATTTGAAAACCCTAAGAACTCTTCATAAATGGGCTTCCCACAGATGAGCACGGCCGTGCAATGCCTTAAGCACGACTGTACATGGGCTTGAAGCACCCCATGCTTATTGAATGGGTTTGGGCGTGCTGACTTCTGCAAAACTCTAATCTTCCATCAATTTAGGCCCATAATGCACCCAAAATTCACTTGCAGCGTCTTTATACCAAACTGCACAATTAATATATAAATTAGTATAAAACCCAAAGAAAATAAAGATCAAATATGAATATATGGGCTGTAAAAAAGGACCTAATTACAGACTTATCAGATTTGTGTGGGGAACGCTTGAAGGTGAGTTTGAAACGGTTAGGATTTTTGTTTTCCTTCCCTTTCTCTGTTCTTGGTGATTTTTGGGGTTTTAATGGAATTCTTCCATGTGTTTAGGCCAAAAGTCATGTGGGGAGCATTTCCGTAGTTGAGTTCGGACGTGGGTCTTTAATCCAAGGTAAAAAGGGACTCTACCCTACTCCTTTATGTGTGATTTGCTGATATTTTGTGTGATATTGTGATGTGGCTGAGTAGAGGGTAGGAAATTGCTGAGATATGTGATGTAGGCACTTGTGCCATTTATACATGTGTGTATATCTGAATGAACATTGTGAAAATGTGGGCCCGAGGGCCATGTAATATGAATGGAAATAAGCTAGGGGTCGTGTGGCATGAATGAATTGTGGGCTATGTGCTGTGAAAATGAAATATGGGCCTAGTACCGTATAGTTGAACAAATATGGACCTAGTGTCGTGTACTATTAAATGTGGGCTATGTGTCATATATTGAAATGTGTGAATGGGTGTATTAGCGCCATTATGATGTGCTGTGAATGGTTCAGCGATACACTGGAGTGTGGAAGATGAGGACAGTAGGAATATCTTGGGGATGAGAGAGTAGTGGTGACACCGACTGCGGAACGGGTGCACCACAGGCCACACTCTCTCTTCCTGACTAGACCTCTGACCACTATCCTTGCTGAGCGACCCGTGATTGCCCACGTGGTATCCGTGAGACGGGGGTAACCGGCGACCATTCATGGTGTAAATTTGTGATTACAGTACTATAGTGAGTGTGGCTGGTATGCGTATGCATGAATTTGTGTTTTGTACTTATGGATGTGAATTGTTGCCTGTGATTGTGTTTGTTGAATGTATTGGAGGTGGGACTCTATGTTGATTGTGTGTTTTGGGTAGTGTAGAGTATTCACCCTTACATTCATTTTTCAGGTAATCAAGACGATCAACACCGGGCTCAGTGAAGGGGTGGATGGAATTGCTATAGGACTTAGAATATTATTTTGGAAAACTGTTGTATTAGAATAAGTCCTGTAGCAACTGTTGATATAATTTGTAACCCCTTCTTTTATTTGAAATGGTTGATGAAACTTGAATTAAAATGAGAATTTTATTATTTCCAAAATTTGTGAAATTTCTTATTTATTGGAAAATTAAATTTAAGGTGTTACAATTTTTGGTATCAGAGCAAGCTTCTCTCCCAGTACGGTGTGGTTCAAAGACGAATCACGCGGAAGCTGATGGGCATGTGACACCCAGGCGCTAAGTGAGGGCGGGGAGTGATAGTCAGTGCAATGTCGCACGGACAAGGAGTGGTTACCTGGCAGGCTTCCGGTGGTAAGGGGCACATGAATGAATCGAACTTACATCGGAATGAGAGGGGGATCCAGAGACTGTGTTTATAGTTAAGGATAGCTTAAAGGAATTGATTAGGACTACCTATACCAACAAAATGCATTTACTTTTCGATGGCCTATCACTTAAGAACTTCAAAGTTAAGCGTGCTTAACTTGGAGCAATTATGGGATTGGTGACTTTCTGGAAAGTTCTCAGGAAGTGTGCAAGTGAGGACAAAGTACACTGAAAAGTCTCGTGTTAGTTTGTGGGGACAGTCGTCAGTCTCGATTGAGTTGCCGGGCTGTTACAGCAGTCACATTGATACATTTGTAAGTATGGGCAATGTGCAAAATTCTACCATTTACTTTAAGCCATAAGTTGAAAGGATAGCTTTTACAATTCCTTCTTCAATTGGTTTCTAAAATAATATTATATTAATTTGTAATGGCTATAAAAGGTAGTATGTCATGTCATGCCATGTTTATTAGAATCAATTAAGTGATAATATTGAGTGACCTTGCTCCTCTTTCGTTCTTCCTTCCATGAACGTGACTATGTAACAAAATATTTGTAAGTGTTATTATGTCCAACTAATATCAAATTGGTATCGAAGCTTATTAGATTCAACATTGGTTCTGTGAGTTTGTGAAAGAGTTAGTTTTAAAAATTTAGAGGAAAAAAAATAAGTGTGTAATGAAAAAGAGTGTTCTCACTTTACCAATTTTATTTTATTTGAGAGAGAGATGGCTATAAGCTACAATATTGTTTGATATGGTCCCAAATTAAATGAGATACTTGATTATAATTATTAGGCATTATTGATGTCTACTTATTTGAAAGCTCACAATATTTGAAACTTTATTAAATCAAGCTTACAACAAGGCGTTGAAGATGCTACTCAAAGGAAAGACTAATTGGCACTATCACATATTCACCAAGGAGTTGATTATTCAATTTTTGGCAAAATAACAAATGTCCAAACAACCATAGAAGCGTGAGACATTTTGAAGTTATCATG